TTGTTGGGGTGTAAGCCAACCATAGTTTGGATTTAAGATGGGCATTTATACAAATGTCTTAAATAAATTAAATAAGTTAAAATAAATATCATTCTAACACATTATAGATGGATTTACATACCATGCTTATTCAAAAAAGGAAACTACATGATTAATCATTATAGTCAAACCAGAAGAGTTATTCAGTATTAATATTCTTTACTGTTTTTAGAGAACCTCTTGGCACTATTTCTCTCTTTCTTTCAAACATATTTATAAATGTATATGTGCTGATTTTCTTGAGTCCTTTAAGTACAAATGCAGGCTTGATTGTTTATGGAATTTATAGGCTACCTGACCTGTCATGATCTGGTTGCAACATAGTGAGCATCCTATGCTTTGCACATGGAGCCGGACTATACAATTTAGTGCATAAGTTTCCATGTCAGTATTCTCGGCTTCCCACATTGGTTCCTCATTGCTTATTATGTGATGACTGTAAGGAACAGAAATAAATTAGAATGTTTATTTATTTAGGGATCAGGAAGCTTATGGCATGAGAATACCCCAGTGAACTTCTGTCAGGTCACAGCTTCTACATTTCTCATCCTCCTTATTTTGCTCAAAGAGATATAATGCAAAGGTTGCAAGGAAATAATACTATAGTGTTGCATGTATACTCTTTGATATGTGCATTTCTTTCATTTTTCTTTTTAATGGTAGCTACTGAAATTGAACATATCAGCGCCATGTTCCAGGAGAAGCAACAAGAATTACAAGCTGCAGTGTTAAAAGTGGACCAGCTTACTCAACAATTAGAAGATCTGAGAAAAGGGAAATTGAATGGGTTCCAGTCTTATAATGGACAAATGACTGGGCCTGCAGCTATAGAATTAAAAAAATTATATCAAGAGCTACAGGTAATTAAGATATTTACTTATTTATTGGCAGACATGTAGCCTTTTCTCTAGTTCCTTTAGTGCATTTGGTCATTTTAAAGTCTCAGGCATTTTTCTAAAAGAAAATGAAACAAAAATAGAGAATATATCAAAGCTGAACAGGACCCACCAGCTATGTTGCACTAATTCAGCCATGGACATTCATTGGATAACTTCTACAGGTAGTACTCAGGTTATGATGGCAATTGGGGCTGGAATTTCCATCACTAAACGATGCGGTCTTAAAGCGCGATGACAGTCCCAGTTGCCATTGGGTTTGCATGGGTCCTTAAGCGAGGACCTCACGTGACTGTGTCATGGGAAGAGGCAGGACTCCCAGGCATGGAGGCCAGTGGGCGAGAGCTACAGGCAGGCAGGCAGGTGCTGTGGGTCAGCACTACGGAGTGCAGGTGGGTGGCTGCTGCAGATGGGTGCTACGGAGCATGGGTGGGTGAAAAAGCAGGAGCAACTTGTGGCAGTGACTTGCAACCTTCTGCCAGCTTCCCCATTGACTTTGCTTGTGGGAACCCAGCAGGGAAGGTCAGAAATGGCAATCACGTGACCACGGGACATTGCAACCATCGTAGTTGCAAGCTGGTTACCAAGTACCGAATCGTGATCGCATGACCGCAGGGACGTTGCGATGGCCGCAACTTCAAGGACCAGTCTTCAGTCCCCCTCGTTCAGTGCTGTTGTAACTTTGAACAGTTGCTGAACAAGTGGTCATAACCCGAGGACTACCTGTATCTCTGACAGTTTCTCCCATTCTACCAGATATGACAGGATGGTTATATTCCAGATCCCCTCTATCAAACAGTGTCATCTTATGGGAATGAGAAGGTATGCCTTCTATGTCACAGTGTCTGCCCTGTGGAACAAGCCATCCAAAAGGCTGTTAAAACTTGGCTTTTTCCCCGAGTGTTAGGGCCTGGATGTTGGGAGAACCCAACGTGTGTTTTTTATGGAATTGTTATGTAGCACCTTGATTATTGTTGTTACTTTTTTGCATTGGATCATTTTAATTGGTTATGGATTTTTCATATTGTTTTTGCATGTACTGTTTGCTATTCAGAGTTATACATATAAGATGGGTGGCTATTTAAAATTTCTAAATAAATAAATAAACTTTCCACCCAGTTTTTTTTGCTGATTTGCTGTTATAAATATAAATTAAGGAAAACATATCATGTGACTACTTTGAGCTTCTAGAGGAATGGAATTTATTCCCAGAGGAATAAATAAATATCATTATAGTAACTGTATTTAATTTATTAAAATTTAAAATTATATGTAAATTAAACCAATTTTTGCTTTTGTTTTAGTCCCGCTTATTTTTCAGAGTGTGTTCCCCGGCCTATCACTGAAAGGCCAAGTGTGGGTTTTGATTCAAAATCTTTTGCACACCAAATCATAAGTGAGACACAATGATTCAATCTACAGGTTCAATCTATATGATAATGTGCAGTGTATGCTTACTACAAATTGTCTTGCTGAATTAATCATAATTCTTCAAATTAGGGGAAAAGGAGACTATGATCTAAAATTGTTTAATTCCTCTTACAACATGCCTTTCTGCTCCTCAGTATATTCAGATCAAAAGTAAGCAGAGAAAAAGGAGGAAAATTACACACTAGCACTTTTCTCTTCATCTCTGAAATGAGCTGAGCAGTAGGACACTAGGAGATCTTGAGTCAGCTTCTTGGTATTAGCTCTCACAACTTAGGTAGTATTGTGACTTTGTCATCCTTTACCTTAAAAACACACATGATCATATATAGGTTAATTTTGGTCTTTGTACATCAAACATATGGGTTTCTAGCTCTGCAGAGCATGGTTTGCGATGTGCTAGAACTGAGATTTTGATGGGATTCTATCTGTCTGTCCCTCCCTGCATAGATGCACATTAAGTGGATGAAATCCCCTTACCTTTCTCTCAGCTCCTGAAAGAGAAGGTTTAGGCTTGGATTTCTCAAACAACAGTCCCTTACCAAACCACTGAGCTTCAAAAATGTCTGAGATACAGCATGAACTTCTGCCATTTCAGTTTTTAAAAAAATGAAACAAATTTCAGAACATAGATGTTAAGTCACTTTTACATCTTGTCTTTTGGATCTTAATTCTTTTCATATATGAGTAAAATTGGGTCAACTTTGAATGATAATTGCTCTTTTTTTTAAAATAGATTCGCAACAGGCTTAATCAGGAACAGAATACCAAACTTCAACAGCAGAAAGAACTTTTGAACAAACGTAACATGGAAGTGGCCATGATGGACAAACGAATCAATGAGCTACGCGAGCGCCTGTACAAGAAAAAAGTTGAGGCACGTCAAAAAGAAAACATTCCTGTAAGATAAGCTATTAAAAGGGCCACATTTCAGTGGCATCTATAAAGCCCAACAAATTTCCATTTTTCTACAGCTGCAGCATTCTGATATCTGGAAATATTCACTCTTAATTTACAGAGAAATTAATAACGTTTCAGAATTTCCATATATCTATTCATACACACCTCCTACACACACACACACACACACAACACAAACACCATTAAAAATGTGTTACATATATTGATGAAATCTGGTGTTTATTTTCAGTATTGCATAAAAGATTGTGATAGTTGCAATAATGTAAAGTATAAAACACATGACAAATTTTACAGAGAGCACTCTGCAAGCTGAAAAATACTAATTCTTGCACAGGAATGCTATTATAGTTAAGACAGTAAAATAGAAATAATCTTCTTCCCCTCCATCCCAACTGAAGTTGTGGGATTAAGAGTAGAATAATAATCTGGTTTTCCTATGGGTTATGTATTAATATTTCTAGTCATATCTTTCTTGCTTCAAACCAGTAGAATATGACTGGGAAACCTCTGCCCATTTATATCTTGCTGAACCACAACTTGCAGAACCTTCAATTAGTGTGGCCAATCATAAGGGATTCTGGCAGTTGTACTTTTGTAACCTATGAGAGGCTACAGTTTCTCCAGATCTGCATCAGGAAGAAAATGGATTACATCTGAGATAATGTCTGATCATTCTTTCTAGATTGAAGTAGATCTTTAGTCATTTAAGGTCTCTGGCATTGAAGGCATCGTTATTCAGTCGTTAAGTCGTGTCTGACTCTTCGTGACCCCATGAACACTTTGACGCCAGGCCTTCCTGTCCTTCACTGCCTCTCTGAGTTTGCTCAGTTTCATGCTCATTACTTCAGTGATGCTATCTAACCATCTCATCCTCTGCCGTCCCCTTCTCCTTTTGCCTTCAATCTTTCCCAGCATCAGGGTCTTTACCAAAGAGTCCTCTCTTCGCATTAGGTGACCAAAGTATCTGAGCTTGAGCTTCATTATCAATCCTTCCAATGAGCAATCAGGGTTGATTCTGCATATCTGAGGTTGTTGATATTTCTCCCTGCAATCTTAATTCCGGCTTGTGATTCTTCCAGCTTGGCATTTCTCATGATGTATTCTACATATAAGCCGGCTTGTGATTCTTCCAGCTTGGCATTTCTCATGATGTATTCTACATATAAGCCGGCTTGTGATTCTTCCAGCTTGGCATTTCTCATGATGTATTCTACATATAAGCCGGCTTGTGATTCTTCCAGCTTGGCATTTCTCATGATGTATTCTACATATAAGTTAAATAAGCAGGGGGAGAGTATACAGACTTGTTGTTCTCCTTTCCCTATTTTGAACCAATCAGTTATTCCATGACCGGTTCTAACTGTTGCTTCTTGGTCCGCATACAGATTTCTCAGGAGACAGGT